CGCCGATGCATGGGCCGTTCTGTCCGATCCGGCCAAGAAGCAAATTTACGACAACGAGCTGGGGCCGTTCAGCCGGATCGATCTCGGCGGGTCGAATTCGAACAAATTGCCGGTGCGGCGGGACAGCCGGGGCCGAAACGACGCCGGTGTGGGAAACGACGGCCAGCAGCAGCCGAGGTCGAGATTGTCGACTTTCTGGACGACGTGCCCGTACTGTTACGTGCTGTACGAGTACCCTAGGGTTTACGAGAGCTGCTGTTTAAGGTGTCAGAATTGTAAGCGAGGGTTCGAGGCGGTGGTTGTTCCGAATTTGCCGCCAATGGTGCAGGGACAAGACGCTTACTACTGCTGTTGGGGGTTTTTTCCAATGGGATTTGTTGGCGGCAGCGGCGCGAAGGGTAAGTCCACCGCCGCAGCCACCGCCGCCTTTCCCAACTGGATGCCACCTGTCTTTACAACCCCGCAGAGTAAAACTCCGGTGATTGCAACGACAGTGCCTACCTCGGTGCCCGTGGTGCCGAATTCGGGGGGAGTGGTGGATATTTCGGATGGGACCCCGGAATTGAGGCCTAATCCGACTCAGAAGAAGAGAGGACGACCCAAGAAGTACTGATTTGGCTGGTGATGCAAAGCAGAAGAATACTCTTTGTAATGGAATGCCTTAGGACTGGCAGAGAGAAATTTTTAGGTTGGTTTTTTTGAAGCTGCTGAGTTTCGAAAACCCGGAAGGTAACTCTTTACGGTCTTTGCTTTTGCTGTTGTTGATTTTGCTTTAGATTGTAATTGTTGGTTGTAGATGTTCCAATGCTCGCCTCTTAAGTTATGAAACTGACTGCATTTGTAGATTTTGTAGTTGTTGTGTAATCAGTAATCCTTTCTGTATTTAGCCCAATGTCGTTTCATTAAGTGTTTTCAACCTATCCCTGGGCCCTCTTGTTCTTGTTGGCCTGTTTGGTTATATATTGAATGCATTTCAACCTATCTATTTGTTCTTGTTGGCGTGTACGGTTAGATATTGAATGCATGCACACGTACATTCTGTGGGCACGTGTGTGATCACGTTAGCTGATTAGATGAACCATCTTAGGGGTTGTAGTTTATACCGGGTTTTCGGTTCACTTCTATGAACAGAACTAACATCTTGTTCTTTAACACTTGAGTTGCATGGTTTTCTGGTGACGAAAATGTTTGTAATTGTTCTTTTGCTAGGGCAGTTATTGTGTGGTATTCAATAAGGTAAAATAATTTTGGTCACATTGTTATGACCGGAATCACGCTTGATCATTTTCGTTTTGTTGTTACCAATTTTGTCATTGCAATTGACTCCGTTAGCAATTTAAGTTCAACTTTGAACTTATGTCTGTTGAAATTTGAAAATAGAATATAAGATTAACAAATTAAAACATTCAACTAGAAAGGAAAGAACTTTAAAGTCATAACTTTGAATCGAAGATACAGATGGAGATGTTCTAGTATTCAACCCATTAGGTAAAATGATATATATATTTCAATTAATGGAATTTATAAATTGGACTTAATTGCTAACAGAGAATCCCATTGACAAATACTGAAAAACTAGAACAATGACAGTTGTGATTTTGTACCAACGCAGTGACCAAAAATGTGTCTACCCAAATAAATTAACAGAGGCTAAAGAACGTAGCGTAGGGTTGTTGAATTGCAAGTACTTCTTAAATCCTCTTTCAGTTGGGCTTACAATTCTAACTAGTCCAGCCAGTCAATAACCGACTGATTGATTATCCGTTTCCATGTCCAGATCTTCCTTGTCGGTGTACTTCTAGGAATATTCTCTAACTCCATACTTTGTATTATTAGTTCTGTAGTTGCAGCGGCTGCGTGATAGCAGCTACTGCATCCTTTGTTATGAATTAGTTGAGCAACTGCTTTGCTGCAGCTGCCGGAGTATGCTAGTTAACAAAATGAAGCACTGTTGTGTGGTAATATTGTGAAAGTGATTTTCTAGGTTCAGCTTTATTTTGGACATCTAAGAGGCTTAACCGGCAACCTGTAAGCTATGAAGGTTGAACACCATACTCCCACCGAATGTGGAAGACATATACTAGTCGGTTCCAAACAACAGAAGGAGGTTAACGGTTGAAGCATTGTTATCTACTTCTTGGTACCTGTATGGCTGCAAGCCATTGCGTAATCTGCAACTCGTATAGATGCTTAAACTTTAGTGGTTTTGCCTTTTGGGGGAGAGTTTGTTACGATAGATTTGATGTGAATCGGCCTTTCCTTGATTGAGACAGTATGTTGATAGTAACATCATTATCATTATATTTTTGGGTGTGGATTTGTTGGTCCTTTTGTAACGTTACTGGGTAAGCAGGAAGGTGCAAAATACCAGCAACTACAATATGAATTTAAGACACCTCTAAGCCAAGGTGGCTATATCTCAAACCTATCAGACACCGCCATCCTTGTGCCTTAACATGCTTGCATGACATTGCATGATTGGTTGAGAATATCGTCACCTTTGCATCGTATTCCAAGTACGTATATACACCCCTCGTACTCGGTCCTTCTGTCAAGACTCCTTCCAGCGTAGCCTTTCAAACGGAAAAGAAAATGTGCAGCGCAAAATCGTAAACGGAGTGGTAGTCAAGCTCCAGAGTTTCAATTCAACCACTCCATATCCAATTCCAATTCCACACATTCAGATTTGGAAATAAAAAGATAAGCGGCTGCCACAAGTGTGGTACAAATAATATGATTTTCTTAATCAATTGGAGTGTGTGAGTACTTTGAAAAGAGGAGATAACAAAGAACGACGGGTGTATTTTTGTTCATTACCTTCAAGTGATGGTAATGTTCACCATCATATTTAGTATCATTAGATAAATTTAAATTTTAAGAGTTGTATCTACATAAATTTCAAAATTTAAACTCATACAATGGTAATTAATAGGATGTGAGCGTCACCATCACGTATCGATGGTAAGCAAAAATATTACCGAAGAACAACTATAGGATAAGTCAATACCCTCTTTGGTTATCCCATATCTTAACTTTTCAAGAATGCTTTACTCGAAATCAGTGAAACTGTTTTCTCTTTTTTTTTAGTGGTTAGTAAACACATGAATAGAATGATACTCATTCTTGCCATCAAATGTATTACTTCATGACTGTCTCAGAGAAAAAAGTCAAAATTAATATTACCAAGTTACATACAATGAAACATAACGGATCTTAGGTACAATGAAACACTACATGAGACTTCTCGCGTTAAGGATAACACTCATAATCAATTAAGCTACAATCTCCAACCCACAATATGACTACGACGATTTGGATGTGGTGGAGGGATTTTCTATAGAAATTAATTCATAATTTCAGTGACAACACCAATCCATCAAATGCTTGGCAATTGTTCTAAATTACCTAAAATTTTAGACTATAGTGGATATTCTAATACGATATTCTATACTAATATACACTAAAGGAGATGGGCGAATGTTTGAGGAATACAACGGGTTGAAGAGAAAAACGTTAATCATTAGAGTAATCTACTTGCTACCTTGACTATCCAATAGATGTTTGTCATGTGATGTCAAGCATCCCTCCATTTGGAAGGGTAAGAGCATATCTAAAAGCAACTCCACCCCATCCAATTGCCTTTGCAATTGCGTGATTCAATCACCCAAACCCAACAAAAACAACTCTAGCCCATCCAAATCAATAGGGCCATTTGACAGGCCCAAACCCCCAGACCTAGCAATCAGGCCATTGTTGCACCACTTGTCCGCTTGTCCGCCTGAGTGGATCTAACGTCAGCCACGTATAAATTTTTTTGCGTCAGACATGTAGGCTTCACGTTTGAGTGAAGGAGAGTGAGCCAACCAAAAGGTGGCGGTAGGACCCGCGCTACAGGCGCACTCAACTTTTGCGCACGTGGGCCGTTGGATTTCTCAAATCCAAAGGTCCACATTAATCTGGCTTTTTAATTCAGAAGAAATAATAAAAATGAAAATTTTGAAACAATAGTTGGAGCCCATGTGGCACAATCTAGGCTGTTGGATAGAAAAAAAAATCCAATAATTGCCAATTGCAATAGCCCGGGCAATTATCGCCCAAAGGGGAAGTCATAATATAAGTAGAGTAAATGATATTTCATTGTCTCTCCTATTTTATGACACGCTTGAATACTAGACCGTTGAAAAAATAATATCTTGAAATAAGTATTTCACATTTTTTTTTATTGGCTGGTAAACTCTTCAATAGAGATATGTAAAATATCCTTCTTGACCGGAAAATATAAACAAAAATGCGTTTTTTATTGAAACCTCACATTTTGTTGATTACACCTCACATACTTAATACACCCCACATTTACTTTTAAATTATAGTTTATTTTAATACAGTCTAGATACATTCCAACACTACTCTCATGTTCCACACTTAAAACATGCACCCCCATCGCCACTTAAACTCCACATCAAACTCATCTTCTTCACCACGAACAACCATTTAAATGTATGTTCTATATTGTATATTGTATAAGTAGGCGGTGAAGCCAACTATTCAACAAGAAAAAAGGTGCTAATAAAAATACCCAGCAAAAACTTAAATTTACATTTTATAAGATCTCAAATTCACATATTAAAGTAAAAAGGCAAGTGGCTCTTTAGTACTGCGGTAGAAAAGTATTGACCCTTTGCATAATGATATGTGTTTGAATTTCGTTGATGGTTAATTTAACATAATATGTTAAGAAATAGATCTATGATTGATTCTAATTGATTGGTCAAATATTGTAAATTAATATTAGTTATTTACTTTCTTATTTAGCTCTCAGTTAGCCTTGATTGTAGGCAATAGAGTAGGATCGTGATTTGCAATATGTGTATAAAAGAGTAACCCTAGTTTTGTGAATAATAGTGAAAAAGACAATTCCATCACACTAATGTTCTTTAGTTGGTATCAGAGCACTGATCTGGGAAAGCACAAAACATAAATTTAACCCTAGCTAACACGACATGGGTGACAAGTCAGAATCAAAGTCAACCACTTCAGGCATGACTTCTCACTCACAATGGGAAAATCCCAACCATCCACTTTTCCTTCATCACTCGGACCAACCTGGTGCAATTCTTGTACCACAGCCACTGATGCAAGATAATTATAGCACATGGGTTCAGTCCATGAGCATGCCCTTAACGGTCAAGAACAAACTTGGACTTGTTGATGGAACAATCAAGGAACCAAGTGCAAACAATCCTAAGGAGTTACAACAATGGAACCGCTGCAACAACTTGGTCAAGACATGGCTACTAGGGTCTATGTCGAAAGAAATTTCAGGGAGTGTCATCAACTGCAAGGATGCTCGACAGATGTGGCTTGACTTGCAAGAGAGATTTTCACACGTAAATATTGTTCAACTATTTCATATAAAGAATGAAATCCATGATTGCATACAAGGTAACATGAGTGTAAGTTCTTATTTCACAAAACTTAAAAGCTTGTGGGATGAACGCGATGTCTTGTGTTCAATCCCAGCATGCAATTATGAAACAAAGAAAGAAATCATATCATATGTTGAAACTCAGAAAACAATGAAGTTCCTTATAGGATTGAATGACTCATATGCTACTGTTCGAAGCAATACTTTTCTTCTTGACCCACTGCCCATGGTGAATAAGGCATATGCATTAGTCTTTCGACATGAACGGCAGGCAGAAGTCTCTAGCGGGAAGAACACTCAACCAGAAGCTGCTGTTTTTGTAGTGAAGAACTCTAGCTGAGAACCTGAATCAGATGACAATGGGACTCGATGTGGAAAGTGTAATAAAACTAACCACACCACCAAGAACTGCCCTGCACACCTCAAGTGCACTTTTTGTGGGTGGAAATGTCATACCTTTGAGTTCTGTCGAAAGAGAAAGGTCGCTGCTGAAACCGAGTCAAATAGTTCATTTTCTTTAAAAAGAAATCAAGTTACAACATATGAAAAGATGGACGCCCAGTTTCCCATTTTCCCAAGAGGATTGCAAGCAAATCCTTCAAATGCTCAACAAGAACAAGTCATCATTTGTCAATCATGTTGGTAATTCTTCTACTCATGAAGAACTTTCAGGTAAAGCCTTCTCTTTCACACATAATGGCACAAAAAACATCTGGATCCTGGACAGTGGTGCTACGGACCACATTATTTGTAACCCCAATCTTCTTACAAATTCAAAGCCTGTTGAAAACCATATTGTTGAACTACCAAATGGGTCATTTGCCAAAGTCACTCATATTGGACAAATAGTGTTCTCTCCCAATCTCATCCTTGATAATGTCTTATGTGTGCCACCTTTTAGGTTGAATTTGATATCCATCAGTAAACTACCCTATGATTCCCTATATGTCACAATTTTTCTAAAACATCTTTGTGTTATAAATGACCTACGCTCGGAGAAGATGATTGGGACTGGAATTGAATGGGAGGGGCTCTACTACCTCAATCCACCAAAGAAAAGAATATGCAACACTGTTCACACCGTTTCTCCACATCTTTGGCACCAACGTCTTGGACATTCATCTTATAAAGTGTCTTCGTTATTTCCCTTTTTCAATAATAAGTCTTGTGTTACCAACCATTGTTTAATTTGTCCTTTGGCTAAACAAACAAAATCACCAATTCCATTAAGTTTCATTTCTAGTAAATCAGCTTTTGAATTACTCCATATTGATATCTGGGGTGGTTATAAGGTTGTTTCTCTTTCAGGTGCCAAATATTTCTTTACTATTGTCGATGATCATACTAGGACCACATGGGTCTATTTGATGAAGTATAAATCTAACACAAAAGATCTCTTAGTCAAATTTATCCACATGGTTGAAACTCAATTCAATACTAAGGTCAAAATAATCAGAAGTGACAATGGCCCTAAATTTAAACCTGAAATTTTTTATGCTCTAAAAAGATTATTCATCAGTCTAGTTGTGTCAACACACCATAACAAAATGGTGTCGCTAAACACAACATCGACATTTGCTCAACATAGCTAGGGCGTTACTTTTTCAAGCCTGTCTGCCAAAACATTTTTGGAGGGATGCCATACTTGCTTCAGCTTACCTCATAAATCGTACACCAACTCCACTTCTCCAAGGTAACACACCTTACGAAAAATTATTTCATAAAGAACCTACCTATTCCCATTTAAGAGTTTTTGGCAGTTTGTGTTTTGCTTCCACACATGCACACATACCTTCTAAATTTGACACCCCATTCTCTTATTCTGACTCCTATTTCCCCACCCCCCATCCTAGACCTTTCATCACCTACTTCCCCACTTCCCTCTTCACCCATCCCATCAACCTTACCGTCATCTCCTTCCCGTGTCCCCACCCCCTCGTCACAACACACGTCCCACCAAACCCTCCATTTTTTTGCAGGATTTTCACGTAGAGGCAACCCTCCCCACTCGTGCTGTTCCCAACTCTTCCACGAGCATGGTTCAATCGTCAGGTACGTCCCATTCTATCTCCCATTATTTATCATATGTCCACCTCTCTTATAATCACAAAACCTTCACCACTAATCTCGCCCTTATCAAGGAACCTACTAGTTTTTCATAGGCTGTTTAGGACTCCAAATGGCATGATACCATGCAACATGAGATTGCAGCACTCCAGGCAAATCATACCTGGACTCTTGTGCCCCTTACCATCTCACAAACGTCCCATTGGCTGCAAATGGGTGTACAAAGTGAAGCTTAAACTTAATGGGAGTGTCAAGCGCTACAAAGCTCGACTTGTTGCGAAAGGTTATAGTTAAATAGAGGGGATTGATTATCGGGAAACATTTGCTCCCATTGCCAAGCTCACCACTATTTGTGTCCTTCTGAGCATTGCTGCACTCCGCGGTTGGCATCTCCACCAACTCGACATGAACAATGCCTTCTTGAATGGTGATTTGTACGAAGATGTCTATATGACCTTGCCTCCTAGGTTCGGACGAAAAGGGGAGACTCGTGTATGCAAACTAAACAAATCACTTTATGGTTTAAAACAGGCCTCGAGACAATGGTTTATCAAGTTATCCAATGCCCTCAAAGCCGCTGGTTTCCATCAATCGTGGTCTAATTACTCACTGTTCGTCCGAAGTCATCAAGGTAGTTTATGGCGTTACTAGTCTACATTGATGATGTAATACTTACAGGAAATAACCTACAAGAGACTGAAGAGACTAAATGCTTTCTTTCCCAACATTTCAAACTAAAGGATTTGGGACAGCTCAAATATTTTCTGGGAATAAAAGTTGCAAGATCAAGCAAGGGAATTACTTTATGTCAACGCAAGTATGCATTGGAAATATTAGATGATACTGGTTTCCTTGGATCAAAACCCTCACGGTTTCCTATGGAACAAAACTTGTCCCTCACGCAAACAAATGGGACACTGTTGAATAATCCATGTTTATATAGACGGCTAGTGGGCAGGTTAATTTACTTAACAATTACAAGGCCGGACCTAACCTATGTGGTTCATGTGTTGAGCCAATTCATGGATAAACCATGATAACCACACCTTGAAGCAGCACATAAAGTCTTTAGATACATTAAACAGGCTTCTGGACAAGGAATTTTTCTACCTGCTACAGGTTCATTGCAATTACAAGCTCTTTGTGACGCTGACTGGGCTCGATGTAAAGACACAAGAAGATCGATAACTAGTTATTGTATCTTTCTTGGATAATCACCTATCTCTTGGAAGACAAAGAAACAAAGCATTGTATCTCGTTCTAGTGCAGAGGCAGAATGTCGCTCCATGGCCACTATTTGTTGCGAAGTCACATGGCTCAAGAATATTTTGAAGGACTTGCAAGTGAATCATGCACAACCTGTTACATTATTCTATGACAATCAAGCCGCCATGCACATTGCTTCAAACCCAGTACTCCATGAACGAACGAAGCATATAGAAATAGATTGTCACCTAGTACGCGAGAAAATTCAAGGAAGGATGGTGTGAACAACCTATATACGAACAACAAACCAACCAGCAGATTTGTTCACCAAGCCACTGAGTTCGACACAGTTTGAGACCTTACTTGGCAAGTTGGGTGTCATCAACATACACTCCAACTTTAGAGGGAGTGTTAAGAAAGAGATCTCTGATTGATTCTGATTGATTGGTCAAATATTGTAAATTAATATTAGTTATTTCCTTTCTTATTTAGCTCCCAGTTAGACAATAGAGTAGGATCATGATTTGCAATATGTGTATAAAAGTGTAACCATAGTTCTGTGAATAATAGTGAAAAAGACAATTCCATCACACTACTGTTCTTTAGTTAATATAACAAAATTTATCATTTGACAAAAAAATATATATACAAAAGCCTTATTTACGTTTAATATATATATATATATATATATATATATAAGACTTTGGATGCGATCTTTAGTCATGAATATTCTTTGATTGAAACATTGTTGGTTTTTAATTTTTGATCAAGGTCCCTGAAATTAATGTAATAATTTATTTCTATGTACGTTACTATATTTTTAAAATTAAAAATTAGAAATTTTAGTTGTTTATATAAATTAGATTTTAAATAAAAAAAACCATAATTTGTGGGATTAAAAATATTAAAATATACATGGGTACATTCATCAAAATTAACCAAAAAATTTATTGTATCAAAACATGGGTACATTCTTCAAAATCACAAAAAAGAAGATATTAGGCTTAATAACATTAGTCAATTTCTTTGATTAAACTTGACATGGATACATTTTAAAATCAAAGAAAAAAAAATGTACTCATATAAGTTTAAAAATGGATTAGAAAAAAATTGAATAGATTTTATATATATATATAAAAAAAAAAGAGGGTACATTTTACATATAACAAATTGGTATATTTAAGAATGAGTACATTTTAAGATTAAAAAGTCTTACATGAATGGGTACATATAATTAGCATGGGTACATTTATCAAAATAAAAAGTGCAAATAATAAAATAAAATATATATATATATATATATATATATATATATGGGTACAAATACAAATCAACTTTAAAAAATATGGGCACAAAAAGAAATTAATATATGGGTATGAATTAAAACTGAAAAGAAAATTAGTACAAGTTAAAAAAGAATTACAAATTAAAAACTAAAACTAAAAATATATGATAAAAAATTTAGTCATAAATATAAATATATTAATTGTAACATTTTTAACATTAAATGAATATATTTAGAAATAAAAAAATATTTTATTATTGAAATAATTAATGATGTTATTAATACCTAAGGACTTTAATAAAAAATTAAAAAAGAACATGATTTTAATCAATGGAGTAGCAAAAGGTAGGATAAGAACTTAATTTCTCATATATATATATATATATGATTTTTGTATCCAAGTAGACCCTCCATTTTCTCCGGGAAGAGATCACATTCGGATCTTTCCCACCAATCAATTAATCCAGACTCTTAAAATTTGATCCAACAGCTACAAGAAAAGATATCATTTGAAAGTTATAATTATTTTAATGAATCAAATTTTAAGAAGCCGGGGATTTTCCAAGTATATGCAGTCCCTTGTGTAAAAAAGAAAAAAAAAAAGTATATGCAGCAGGCCCCGCAAAATAATTACCGAAGTGACAAAACGCACAAATTATCCCCGTCTTATTAAACCAGCCTGACAGAAGAGAAAGGAACCCAATAAAGCTGCTGCTTCGTCGTTCCAACTTCCAAGACACTTTCTTCTCCACCCACCATTTAGCCCATATACAGGCATACCGCACAATCATCCGAACTGCTATCTCTCAGTCTCAATCTCAATCTCAATCTGTTGCTGCTCTGGTGAACTGTAAGAACCCAAATCTCCTCCTCTTTTTCTGCCCTTTTTTTATTTTTAATTTTAATTTTTGTTTATGTACTCTGTTTGTTTGTTTCTTAAACACACTACCTGTTTCCTGCAATGTGGGTTTGTTTTTTCACATGGGTTCAATTCGTGCCGTTTGTTTTCCGGGAAAATGTGGGTGAAACCAAGTTAAGAACATGGAAAATGATCGAGTTTAAGCTTTCCAAGTGTGGTTCAAATTTTGACAATGTGATGTAAAATGTTCACACTACTTTCACACATGAACATTTTTCGTTTTGGGAAGATAATCTAAGCTTGGTTGTTCACAAAATGTTAACGAGAAAACAAAAATACGCGATTAAATTTCGAAGTTTTGTGGACGAGGTTCAAGTTTGATTGTGTAATACAAATACAACTACTTACTTTTTAGCAAAGTAATCTATGGATATAATTGTTTCTGCATAATCTATATTATTTAACGAGACGAGCTCATTTGGTTAGCATTATATTATTGTTTATGATTGTGATCAAAGCAAACTCCAATCTAGTATTTAAAATGTTAGGATCTTGGGAAGCATTTGAGGAACTTTTCACAATGTCGATTGTCACAGACTCGTTGTTTATAGTTATTATGTGAACAGCATGGCGATTCTACAATGCAAGAGTCTTCTGTCTTGTGGCGTAGTCTGTCCTGCGTAAACATTTCTCTATCATGCTACTTGATTCACCTTGGGACTGCCACAGTTCTCCTGCTCGCCATGCCTTACATGTTCCTTGCAGTGGCTTTCTTGTTGGGGTTAGGTGGGACAGGTGAGAACGGGGATTATTCCCGTTGGATAGAAGACAAACAATGTACAATATACAACATGGGTGATCCACCACTGATAGTCTAAAAGCATCAAAGCTTTTTGAGTTTAAACCCCACACCCCATAGGTTCATTAGGCTTTCTCATACACCATTGGTTTAGGTGACTAAGTTAGTGACAATCTCGGTGTTGATTCAGAGTTACAACCACTGGTCCGTTGCCCAACATTTTAAGGTCACCTCTACAATATCGTTCTGCTGGACCTGACATAATAGTAATTCTGTATACCTACTTAGTTGGTAATAGTAAATTTGTAAAGCACATAGAAAAGTGTTTCTGTATACTGTCCACACCTTACTGTATGTTAAATTTTGTTCAAAAGTCTAGGCATTAAACTCCAAAGTAGAAGAGCAACATAGAAAAGGCTAAAGCTTGATTATATTAAACTTCTAATCAGACAGAGAATGAGACAATAGTTTGTGTATAATTGTTTGAAACGGAGATGTTTGATTCGATTGCGGCAATTTTGTCTGTAGAGGTTTACAGCCCAAGAAATTACTTATGTTTTCCTTTTCTTCGGTATTTCCAACTGCAAATGCAGATAATGGAATGCGATCATATTTCAACTGGGAAACATAATGTTAAACTGGAAGATGGAGAGGTTGTTGCTGCTAATCAATCGGAAGGGGAGGTCAAGTTGGCTGATCTCATATGGGTAAGGATCAGTGGAGGCTCATGGTGGCCAGCACAGGTATTTGAAATGCTGTATTTTCTGATTGTTTTGTAACATTCAATAATTGAGATTTTTAATTGCACCTGTTGATACCCCGGATTCTATATGATATTACTTAGTTGTGCCAAAGGATCCATTTTGTTATCTTCTTGTTTAATTCGTAGGTTGTTGATGATAACAACGTGAGTAGCAAGAACAAGCCAAGTAAAAGATCGGCAGAGAAGGTTCTTGTTCGGCTCTATGGAAGCTACAAGTAGTAAGTCTTCCACGATCAGGTGTTTTGTCCTCATTTGTCTTGTGATTGTATAGAACTTCTGAGCATATTTTCTTGCAGCTTGTATGTGGACCCGGTAAAATGTCATTCTGATTTCGACATGGTATGTTTTGAATGCACTGGTGAATCTCCTTGAATTCTGCCTAAGCATTCGAAATTTGAATAATAATTTCCACCCGATTATAGTAGACATGCCCCATGCCTGATCATATTGACCGAATTGCTGAACTTTCAGATACTCAAGCAGAACAACGGTTGTTATAGGGAAATACTCCTAAAAGCTCTGGAGCAGGTAACTATTCTTTCTTTGATAATTGCTCCTTTAGGCAGGAATGAAATCTTGTGGTTGAAGTTGATGGTTTCTCGTACGTCATCTAATATGGCTGCAGGTTTCTAGCTCAAAATCCGACAGATCAAAGAAGCAAGGATCCAAGTCTAAAGGTTAGCCAACTCAAAATCCCTGTATCCAAGTTGAGAGGATTTAATTTCGGAATTTACAGCTGAATGGTGTAATAGAAATCATCTCAACGAACAAATTAGAAGGGAAAGATTTCAACATATTTTAAAGCACTATGTGGAAGGGACCATCAGAATTGTAAACACATGATTATTTAAGAATTTAAGGTTTCGAGAAGTAAATGAGAGGATTGAGGAATTGAACTACAAGGGGAAATACGAGGTATATGTGGAAGCATTGGTTGACCGATTGAGCCACCATTCACTATGGAAATACTAGATGATCCCTCACTTGAGAATTATTAGTGACTCAACTTGCATTTCAAGAGAACATCGGTATGCGCCTTTGCTCATGGGAGACTTGTTTGTGCCCATGTAAGGGAATGAGTTTGTGAAATGGGCTGAGAAGATTCCAGGAGTAACGCCAGCCTACGCTAAACATATTGATATTTCTAGAAACAATGGGAATCCACTCTAAGTGTGAACATTTTGTATGGTTTTTGAAACCCTAATATAACCAATAATGCTTTAGGTACCCATGCAAACCTTATAAAAGTTATTAAATTCATGGCAATTTAAGAAACTGGCAAGAACTCATCAGAATAAGCGATCTTCCGCTCCTGGGTGCGGAACTTAAGTTAGAACCTAAATTGTTATGAAAGTGTGATACTCTTTTTGGTGTTTCGTTCTCATGGCTTTCCATGGCCACCAATGTACCCCTGTTTGTCTGTGAGTAGAGGTCACAACTGAGCTGAAGTCTTTATCTATCATGGTCATTGTCACAATTTACTATCTTATTTTGATGAAATCATTATGTTCAGAATGACCTAAATGGAAAGGTCTCTATTGTTTCTTACAAACTGAGACTCTTATACTGGTCAAAATGTTTATATTATCGGGCAGAAAATGGAGCAGTTGATCTTTCTAGGCGTAAGTCCAGTCGTAATCACGCAAGGGAAAATCCGCAAACAGATTCTTCAAACTTGGTAAGTTCTGATTCTCAACGGTCCTTATTTTGTAAAATTCTATTTCCTTGATATCACATACGGGTACTTGGTTGCAGAATGCTGATGCTCAGAGAACGGAAATTTCTGTGAGTTTCTTTAGCTGGTGTATGGTTACATATTTATCTTCACGGGTTGCAGTTTCATATTCTTTGGCATTATTCATGTAAATCTTCTGTTAGGTAAGGGTTTCTCCAAGAAAGCGGAATGCCGTTATACCACAAAGTAAGGTGGAGCAGAAGACTCTACTTGCACTAAGGGTTGAAAATACAAATGGAAAAGCTTCCAAGCAAAGTGGGGCAGAAGTGGTATCAAAGTCCAAAGAAGTGAGTGCCCGGAGATTGAGAGTGATGCAACAGCTTGGCCTGATTGCTCCTTCGGGATCTTCATTCCACAAAAATGGACTGATTTGAGTCTCTTACTTAAGGTATTACAGTTTTGTTTGTCATGGTGTCGATCATCTGTTAAAAATGGTAAGATTTTTGCAGCTGTATGATAACATTGTACCATTAAGAGACTTCAAATTCGGCACATGAACCATTCGGATTCAACCTATTATTCCCGTTTGGGGCTGCTCGATGCAAGCTGCTAGCTTTTGATGTAAGAATTGCACTGTAGATGCATAGGCTTCTGCTGTAAGGCCATCTGACAAAGTAAGCCTAAATGGTCTTGGCTAGTTGGTTTTTTGCTCTCATTTTGTTTTTGGGGGGTGGTTGCAAAATCTACTGAATTATGTTTTAAGTATCTTTTTTGTGCATACCAAGTCTGAAACCAGTTGGTGAAATTTAAGCACGGGGTGTATTGCTTCTCTCTCTATTCTGGACCTTTACGATAAAACTTTTATAACTATTGAGAATACAAGTCACGTGATGTATTATTTCACGTGTTATAATGAAATGAACGATGTAATCGATATATCCCACTTTTAGAGTATCAACCATATTATTAAGTGGAATCCGAACACAATAGATTTTTTTTTTCAGGTACATCAAAGAAAATACTCAACGTTTTCATGCCTTTGTGGGCCTGCCCAACACCCTAGCATCCTAGCATCCTAGCATGATGGGTAACATTTTTAAATGTTATTCTCCTTAATTAGAAAACAAAAACAAAAAAAAATGACGGTATTTCTGGATGCAGTGAGAAAACTAAAGACTAATTTTTTTGAAAAACTAGATAAGATAATAACCAGGGCAAAAGTCAACGGAACAAAGAAAGCCCACAAGAGGGACAAGCACAACAAAACAGACAAAGGGGTCATGTGAGGGAGAACAACAGTACAAAGACGGTACCACAAAGGCCAGACGTCAACCCAACACACACCCACACCAAAAACCACTTATGGAGGGCAAGGAAGCCCATCCTTGGAACAACACAGAATTTGATTATTCCATTTACAGGTGATTTTTTAATGGATGAGACAAAATAAAATTGTATGTAATTACATATGTTTGTCATATACACGTACAAAAGAAAATCACATTTTATTCCTAATAAGAAAATATTATAATATATAACCTTAATTTAAATTCAATACCAACCTTTAACTAACGAGTTGCTAACGTTCTTTACTGTTTAACTTAAAACCAACCATGAGCTAACGAGTTTGTTAACGGGTTCAATCGTTATCAACATGATCCGTTAAATATTCACCTAAATATTGACATTTTTACGAGTAAATTCGGTTGAATTAACGGGTTGGGATCAATTTGCCAACTCTACGAGAGAGAGAGAGAGAGAGAGAGAGAGAGAGAGAGAGAGTACATACTCGTACACGTCAAGAAAATATCGTTTGTAATTTTCATGTTCTCTTTCCAAGTAGGCACCATTATTCCAACTGTGGATGACAACTACTGAATCACTGATAGGTGGCATTGGATAAGATTAATGCCTTTTTCTTTATTGTATTCACGTTTATTTATTTATTTATTTATCAAATAAATCGTTTCTTGAAATACTTGTTTGCCAAACTCATCTTTTGGAGCTTCCAACAAATGCTGAAGGCGGGAAGAGAGATGGTGTGGCCAATCCGTAAGTTTCATCATCTCAACCAGCTTCACCTGTTTATTTCATTGGTCTCTGTTTGGCTGCAAATAATTATTTTCTCTCAATTAACACAGCCTCAAAATTCGCTCGTTGGATGATTCCAGCACTGGTTTGTAGAGACTCGTTTGGCTGCTGCTCACTCTTTTCTGGTTTAACCAATTCCTCTCTAGCTCAAATTCACAGAAAATCATCTTTTCCAAACAAGGTCCTACTTTCAGCCTCTCATGAATCATGCATTCATCCCTTTTGTCAAAAATGTATTCCTTACTGATCGTACCAGATTTTGTTACATGAATTTATGAAAATTTCTTAGACAAATTCTGCACAAGTTGAAGGCATCCCTGTCGAATTTCCGCCTTCGATCAAGTAAGCATAAAAATATTAATGAACATTGATCATTCGATCCCCTTGACTTGCAGTCCAAACTCTGTACTGTAATTTTTTATGTTTTAGACCTAAAATTGTGCCACTAAGAGCTTCCCACTATAAGTGCTATATACAATGAGCTTTCTCCATTTGTAGAAACAACCCAGTTCTAAGGCCGGAGGCATCAAATGATTCCGAGGATCTTGCTCGTGAATGTACAAAATTTAAAGTAGAAAATGTATCGAAAGCCAAGGATGGGATGGACTCGTTTGTAGCGATGAAAGAGAGGTTTCTGAGTTTTAAAAAGCAAAAATTTTTGTAAGTAGCAGTTAAAAGTGTTTACACAAGTTGCTTGCATATACACATTGGTGGTGGTCTGTAACTGTAAGGTAAATATAATATTGAACAGGAAAGAGTCAGAGCATTTCCAAACCCTAGCTCAAGTACAAGCACCCAAGGTAATTATATTCTCTTAATCTTGTTTATTATACACATTCTGCTTTTGTTTGATTATTTACAAGGGAATTGGGATATTTCCATATATAAACTTAAAATTGTTCGAAAACAGTTCATGGTGATTGCTTGTGCAGACTCTAGGGTTTGTCCCTCTAATATCCTAGGGTTTCAACCAGGGGAAGCTTTCATGGTTAGAAATGTAGCAAACCTTGTCCCCCCATTTGAGGTATTTGGCTTATCTTTTCGTCTGTCCTTTTATATTATCTCGAATCTAAACACATACACAATCGAATTCTTCGGATCAACCTTGGTCTCTTTTGCAGTATGGAACATCAGAAACTAATGCCGCCCTTGAGTTTGCAGTAAATACTCTTCAAGTAGGTCGTCTTGCTCTCTCTAGTCCCTCCATCTATGTATATTTATATCTTGACCATGGTTTATTACAAGTCGTATGAAGGGAGATTCGTCAATCCAAGATGTTCTTTCCAAAAACTGAAATTTTTCTTAATTTCGTCTAAACACGTTATCGTATCTTCTAAAAGGAAAGGCCAAAAATTGTTCGTTTCTATACCAAATTACCGATAAATTTGCAAATAGGTTTGGGAGCGAAACAAGGGTTAAAAATTAGTGACCCCCATTCCACTTCTTGCATCTTCTCACACGAGTACTTTTCTGTTTACTTTCCTTGAGAAGAAAATTGTTTGTGGCTGACTTCAGGTTGAGAATATATTAGTCATTGGCCACAGTAGCTGTGCAGGAATTCAGACCCTATTGAGAATGCAAGATGACGGTGATTCGAGGCTCGTTAACAATTCATTTCTATCTTTTGTTTTCATTCAGTTCATGAATTCCCTCTAAATATTCTTTGTGTGATTTTGCTTTCAGTAGCTTTACTCAAAGTTGGGTTAACAACGCGAAAATCGCCAAACTAAGAACAAAATCTATTGCACAGCACCTCAGCTTTGAACAACAGTGTAGGCACTGTGAGAAGGTTATACTCAATTTTCCTCATCCTACTCTTCTTAAGCTTGTTTGTTTGTGATTAATTTCTAAAATATCTCCGAAATGATCGAAAACAGATTGTTCGTAACTCATGGTGATATGATAAAACAGATACTTATTGTCTTGTGCAAACGAATGGAAGTGACTGATTACGATTTGTTAAACGTAACAATGATAAAAGAATACAGATCAAGCCTCTAAAATGTGATCATTCTTGAGGTATAATAAGTTTTCGTTCTAGTGCAGGAATCGATCAATCGTTCATTGTTGAATCTTCGGACGTACCCATGGATAGAAAACAAAGCAAAGAAAGAGTTGATCTGTCTACATGGAGGATATTACGATTTTTCGAGTTGTACATTTGAGAAATGGAGCCTTGATATAAATGGCAGCAGCAGCTTTGTAGGAGGCAGATACTTGATCAAAGATGAAGCACTTTGGCGCTGAATTTCTTGGTTCTTCCATTGAAAGAATGTTCATTCTCCGCATTGTAAATGCTAGGCTAGGTGGGCTTCAACTTTGTAGGCGTACACAAGCAACAAGAAAAACTTATTCATATTCCACATTGTCCCCTAAAGTTATCTTATTTCATTTTTTGTCCCTTTATAATGATATTCTAATGCACCTTAGCTTTGAACAACAGTGCAGACACTGAGTTTTTCAAGCAAGATTTTATCAAGACAACTACTATTAATTGTGTGGTTATTCACTTGGAGGCATTATGTAATAGCTTAATATTGTAGTTTTTTATTGGAAAAACCCTAAGCCTATAAATAGGCTATCTAATGAGAATAGTACTGTCTTATTTTCTCCATCAACTGCCCTTTTGTTTTTCTTTTATCTCTGTCTAATTTATTTTATCTTCAATACAAAAACATCATTACCAAGAACAAATTTATTGTTTTTCTCAAATTTTTTTAACAAATGATATTGTCCACACTAAGGGGAAGATGGTGGACTTAGCCTCACAATGAACTAGCAATGATGTGGTTTGAATTCACCTTTGACGAAAATCGAATCGAAGACCTCTCACTTACAAGTGAAGAACAATATCACTATACCGTAGTAATAAGTGACTTTATTTTTCTCAATTTTAGATATTGGTACATGTTTTCAATGTTATATTTCTTACAATAAAATCATTCTTGAATTAGACTACAGACATATTCTTTAATAATAATAATAATAATTTTAAAGTGCACCTAGTCAGATGGGAGACATAAACCTAATCCTCATAATACAAGAAAAAAAGATAAAAAAAAAGAAGGAATTGTTATTGGCACTCCAAAAATCTCATTCTATGCTCCAAACTTTCTATATTTAGAAAGAAAAATACACTTGTGAGGAGTGTAGAATGAGGTTTTTGGAGTGCCAATTACACTTCCCAAAAATACATGAAAAGAAAGGGACACATAAACCTTACCCTTCTAGAAACAAAAACAACAAAGATACAAGGAAAAGAGGGGGAATGAAACCTAACCCCTCTAAAGCCGAACCTAAAGGTCTAAATTTGCAAAATAGAACAAGCAACATCATGAGGTTAAGAAAAAAACACAAGAAAGTGAGACAAACATGTATGTCGAGATGCACATTAATTTGAGAAGCGGAAGCTAGGCAAGCCAACATTGTCTGAAAACAAAGCAACACGAACCATCATTGGAGGATAATCATGTCATACCAAAGTTGGAGAAGACAAGCTCATATTAGTAAAATTGTCTGCAACTATATTGCCTTCCCGATATATGTGAAAGACATAGAAAGTCACCTTCCGAATATGGTTCAAACAAATAGACCATTGCATACAAAGAGACCAAGGGGGATCAAAATCAGGCGAGTGGAGGGCAAAATATAACACTAGAAGAGTCACTTTCTAGCCATAGAAAATGTCAACCCCATTGATACGCAAACTCTATACCAATAATAACTGCTGATAATTTTGTAAACAA